ACTAACCCCTCCTTGTGTTTCTGAGGCAGTATCACTATGGAAGTAGATTGCCCAATCTTCCTTCCCAGGAGTGGCTGGTGGGTTTGAACCTTCTGGTACAAGCCTTCTGGTTAGCAGTCAAATGCCCTAGGCACTATGCCACCAGAGCTCCTCATTGGCCACCAAACCAAACACCAAACTCACTGCTGTCGAGTCGAACCCAACTCATAGTAACCCCTCCTTGGGATTCCAAGGTGGTATCACTACGGAAGTAGAATTCCCAACCTTCCTTCTGAGGAGTGGCTGGTGGATTTGAACCGCCAGCTTTGGTTTAGCAGTCAGAGAGATGAAATCAAAACCACAATGAAATATTTCCTTCATACTAGGATGGTTAACATATGAAAATAATAATAATAATAATAATAAGTGTTGTCAAGGATAGGGAATATATGGAGAAACTGGAACAATTACCCATTGCTGCTGAGAACACAAAATGGTATACCCCTTGTGAAAAGGAGCATGGCAGCTCCTAAACTGAAAATATAACTACTATTAAAAAAAAAAAAGCCACTGCCATCAAGTTGATTCCAACTCACAGTGAACCTATGGACAAAGCAGAACTGCCAGATCAGTTTTCCAAGACTATTAATCCTTTTTGGAAGCAGATTTCTTCATCTTTCTCCTGCAGAGAGCCTGGAGGATTTAAACCATTAACATTTGGACTACTACATGACCCAGTAACTCCACTCTTAGGTATATACACAAAAGACTTGAAAGCAGACTCAAACAGAGACATGTATACCAATGTTCACTGCAGCACTACCCACAATAGGTAGAAATAACCTGAATACCTAACACGTAAATGGATAAACAAAATGTGGTACATACATACAGTGGAATACTACTCAGCCAGTAGGAGAAATGTAGTCTTGATACATGCTACAATATGGTTGGTGCCAGAAGACACAATGGTGAGTGAAATAAGTCAGTCACAAAAGGACAAATATTGTATCCCTTCACTTATATAAAAAGACAACAAAAGGCAGCTGTATAGAGAACAAAGTCTATTACTGGCTACCTGGGGAGTAAAAAGGGGGCTTATCAGTGATGAAAACATCACATCGACTAAGGAAAAGGTTGCACAGCTAATTATTACAATTGCAGTCAATAAGTTATTTATCTGTAAAAAAGATGAATTGGCATAAGTTTTGTCATAGATATATTTACAGCAATGACAAAAAAAAAAAAAAAAAGTAGCTGCTGAGGCTGCATATGTGCAGCCAAAAACCTAATGGGACTTGGATTCTTGGTTTAAGAGCTTAGGGTCATAGTTTCACAGGACATCCAGTTAATTGGCCCTAAACTCACTGCCACTGAGTTGACTCGACTCATAAGGTCCCCTCCTTGGGTTTCTGAGGCAGTATCTCACAGAAGTAGATTGCCTGAATTTGAAGGAATTCTGAGGACTGGCTGGTGGGTTTGAACCACTAGCCTTCTGGTTAGCAGTCAACTGCCTTAGGAATTATGCCACCACCTCCTAGTTTTATTGTGTAGTCTCTACAGTCTTAAAAGCCTATAAGTGGCCAGCCAATGCACAACAATCAGTCTCTTTTTGCCTGGAGCAACAAAAGCAGAAGGAGCTTCAGGAACAGAAGGAGTATTTGGAATGTGTTGATAAATGCCTGTAAGAACAACTGCCTCCAAGGGACCAGAAGAACTGGATGGTGCCCAGATACCATTACTGAACATTTTGATCAAAGTTTCTACACGGGAATCCTGATCAAAAGGGAAAATGCAGAATAGTTCAAATTCTCATGAACTCCAGACTTCCCAGAGCCATGAAGTTTGGATGAACTCCTGAAACTATTGCCCTGAGATAACCTTCAAACCTTAAACCAAAAATATCCCCTGAAGTCGTCTTAAAATGAAACAATGGTTTAGCTTAACTGTCGCCGTTATGTGCCCTCGAGTCGGACCTGACTCATAGTGATCCCTCCTTGGGTTTCCAGGTGGCACCATGCTACCAGAGCTCCCTTACCTTAACTAGTTAAAAAAAAAAAAAAAAGTTGGCCTTGAGCATTATAGGAGCGCTGGTGGCATAGTGCCTAAGGCATTTGACTGCTAACCAGTTGGCTCAAACCCACCAGCCACACCTCAGAAGGAAGGTTGGGCAATCTACTTCAACAGAGATACTGCCTCGGAAACCCAAAGAGGGGTTGCTATGAGTCAGATCCAACTCCACAGCAGTATGTTGAGTTTCTTGTTGTTGAGCATTATGGTCTTTTGAGAACTATTTATATAGGATCAAATTGACAAAAGCAACTCAGAAGATGGGGTAATAATATAAGGAAGCAATGAGTTTATCTTAATGGAGAGGAATAACTTATAAAAAGAGAGTGAGAATGATTGCCCAACTCGATGTAAACAATGTCACTACATGTAGAAGTTATTGAATTGGTATACACTGTGCTATGTATATTCTTACTAACAGCAAGAAAAAATAAACCATAAAAGGAAGGATATATGAACTGCTGGCACAAACAGTTAAGCACTAGAGTACTAATCGAAGTCTGGAAGTTCAAACCCACCCAGAGGCAGCTTTGACGACATCCTTGGTAATCTGCATCCAAGGGGTCACAGCCTTGAAAACCATATGGAAAGGTTTTATTCTGTATACACGGGGTCACCATGAGTAGGAATGAGCAGCAACAAATAACACCATGTAGTGCAGTAAAGAGCTAACAAATTCATGGGCTATTCTGTGTACCTAACTCACTGAACCACCTCGGAAACCCCAAGGAGGGGTCACTATGAGTCAGATCCTACTCCACAGCAAGTACATTTAGTTTTGTTTGGTAACTCGCTGAAAAGTGCCCTTACTCTGGAGAACAGCTCAGGTCAGTGATCAGATTCCTCTGTCTCCTTGCAAACAAATCCACATAAATACTGAAGAATATTGGAATGAACAGAAGAAGGTTTTTCTTTCTCAGAAAATGTGTCTCTTGAGCTATAGAATTGAAAATTGTGTCTAGAAACAGGCCCAATTAATTCCAGTTGACAGGTAATATTTCAAAACAGAAAAACAAATTATCTAGAAAAAGACTCATATATTACCTTCCTCTCCATCTTATTTTTTAAAAGATACATATTAAACCCTTTGGAGTAAAGCCATTATAATCTTAAAATAGGAGAAGTCACAAAGGGAAAGATGCTTTACTAAATCAAAATCTCAACTACTGAATAGCTTTTTCCTTAAAATGTAAACAACCAACATAAAGAGACTGTAAATAAATCTACATCACACTGAAAAATCATAGATACTTTCTTTATTACATTATGTGCTGATTCAAACAGAAAATACGTTGGTAAAAAAGGAAAGTGTGAAAAAGACAAAAAATAGCAAGTAAGCATGGGGAAAAGCTTCTCTAAAATTCATTGTTAAAGAATATGAAGTATATTTATAATTCAATAGGCATAAATGATATTGTTATTCCTATAATTTTAAGGTAATGAAGACTAATACAGTACCTTGTAATGTAATTTAAGTTACATTCCTTGGTGCAAATTATTTTCATACCTGCACAGCAAAGGAAATAATGCCTATCGAAAGGTTTATCCAAAGCTATTCACTGAAACTTCTTAAACTACTAGCAGGAGATTAAAAAAAAAAAGTATCTCACAAAAGGAGACTGTAAAACAATTCACTAGCAGAACATTCAACAACCATTTATAATTCAATATTTTTTAAACTAATGTTAAGTTAAAAATCAATGCAAAACAGTATGAATTAAATTACATTAAAAAACATGCACTACAAAGATTGCAATCCCTTGGTGATTATAAATAGTTAGCATAAACAGCTACAAACTTAAAGGTTAGCAGTTCAGGTCCATCCAGAAGCAACACAAAATAAAGACTTGACAATATTCCGGAAAAGCAGCCACTGAGAAGTTTATAGTGCATAGTTCTATGCTGACAGACAGGTCATCATGAATCAGATTAAACGCAATGGGAACTAGTTAAATTTTTCACAAAGATTGGAAGGAAATTGTGATAGTTAAGGATGTATGTCAACTTGGCTGAGCCTGGTTGAGTGGCTGGGCAGCTGGATGTAGTTATTCCCCATGATGAGACTGGTAATTAACTCCATGGTGGAATCTACTAGAGCAGCTGAGTAGCTGCTTTAGGGATGTGGGCTGCTTTCAGTATATAAGAAGCAACTCTGAAGGTCTCCAGCTGATGACACACTTGAACCTGCATGTAGCCGAGTCATTGTTCAGCAGCCTACCACGTTGCCCTGACAATCTTGGGACATTAATGGACCTGAATTAATGGCCTGCCATGTGGTAGTGTAGCATCTAAGGCATTTTACTTTTAACCAGAAGGCTGGCACTTCAAACACACTAGTCACTCCTCAAAAGGAAGGTTGGGCAATCTACTTCCACAGTGATACTGCCTCGGAAACCCAAGGAGGGGTCACTATGAGTCGGATCCAACTCAACCGCAGTGAGTTTTTTGTTTTGTTTTGTTTTGATATGTGGTTTGGTAATATCGGGACTGTGCTTTTTCACTTGTCAACCTTGGGTTTGTCAGCCTCAGCAGCTAGCAGCTGCCTGAGCGAAGAGATGCTTTTAGCTTCAGCAAGCCGAGAGCAAAGGCAGAGCTGAAGCCCAAGGTTGAGGGGCTTACACCCAGCCCCCAGAGCCTGGCACCTGGAACTCAGACTTCTAACCTCCAAAATTATAAAAGAATAAACTTGTTTGTTAAAGCCATCTAATTTGTGGTATATTTCTATTAGACTGGCACTAGGTAACCAAAACAATAATATAAATACATTACAAAAGTCAGAAGGGACTACACTGGCTTTACTTTTCTAAAGTTACTGCAATGTGCTTATTACGTAAAATTTCTAAGGTGAAACTCCTTATTCTTTACACCTGTCCTAGGCAATTAAGTGGACCAGAAATAACCTAATCTGTAATGATGTCTTTATTCTTCATCATTACTTCATCAGCTCTAACCTGGTTTTCCGTAGCAATCAGATTCCTCAATGTTCCAATACCGCTTTAACCACCTCTTGGGGTCTCAGTCAAGAATGCCTGTCTCAGTTCTGCCTGGAAATCCAACACTGGTACTTGCTGCTGCTGGGATCGCCTTGGGTACAACTGACACCTATCACAAGAGCAGTACACATACTCATAAATTACAATAACACATGTGTCTATATACGTAAGCAAATGAAAGAGAAAGTTGAAATCCTTACATTTAAGAATATATTTAAGGTCAATGCATTACCTTATGAAAAACTATAAAATAGGAAACAGGAGCATTTCAGCACAAAAGTAAATATATGGAACTGGAGGATACTTACCAAGACTCAGGGTACTTCTAAGGAATAAGAAAACAAAGAGCTAATTTTGGTTTAAAAAGCCTTATAGAAACAATCATCTACCACTTACCTGCCAATCATTCTATCAGGAAAACTGATAGGGCACAGGTAGAATTTCCTAAGGCATTTTTAGTGAGCCATTCATGCTGTCATCTACTTCTTCAGAAGTCACTAATAGAAACAGACCTGCCAGGGCCAGGGTTGTTTAAAGGCTCTCAGATTAATTTATCCGGAACAGATAAGTTCCAGAGAAAAGCCCTCCACACACCTACATGGATTAGTAACCCAGGTGTATATATGATCATAGGGAGAAGGAAAATATGTAGTTAGTAATCAAGTTTGCTGGCTAACAAGATGGGCTTGGGGAGGAGTAGTCACCAGTATACCACACCAAAGCCTTTCAATATCTCTATAATTCCCTAAGAGAGCTCTGGTAGAGTAGTGCCTAAGGCACTTGACTGCTAACCAGAAGGCTGGTGGTTCAAACCTACCAGCCACTCCTTGGAAGGAAGGTTGGGGAATCTACTTCCGTAGTGATACTGCCTCAGAAACCCAAGGAGGGGTCACTATGAGTTGGGTCTGACTCCATAGCACATAATAACAACAACATAATTCTCCAAATGCTTTTTATCAAATTTCTGAAAGGGAGAGCAAGATTGTAAATAGAGAAGAAAATCACACTATAAATTGAAAAACTAACAAAATTTTTAACACTTGTTTATCTAAAACCTAGAGAGAAATTAAAGCCACCAAAATAGGTCAAATAAAGGATGGAAACAATCTTATTGGCTCAATTAAATCCACAAGGAAACATCTAGGAATCTATTAAGCTGTGGAAAAACAGTCCCAACAAATCAGCACAACCATAAGCATCGGGACCATGACAAAGTCTAGTCATTTTTCCCATGGTTTAAAAAAAAAGACAACTTCATGTCTCTTTTCTTTCAAGTGTCCACCATCTGCAGGAAGAAGGAAAGAAGGTAATTTATTCTATTGGGAGCTCTGGTAGCATAGTGGCTAAGACACTTGCCTGCTAACCAGACGGCTGGCGGTTCAAACCCACCAGCCACTCCTCGGAAGAAGGTTGGGCAATCCTACTTCTGTAGTGATACTGCCTCGGAAACCCAAGAAGGGGTTGCTATGAGTCAGGGCTGACTCGACGGCACATAACAACAACAACAACAACGCTTGTCAGGGAGCCCTGGTGTCATAATGGTTAAGTGCTCAGTTGCTAACCATAACTCAGTGGTTTGAACCTACCAGCTGCTCCCTGGGACAAATATGTAGCAGCAATCTGCTCCTGTAAAGATTGCAGCTTTGGAAATCCTGTGGGGCAGTTATACTCTGTCCTACAGGTTAATATAAGTCAGAATTGGCAAGATGGCAATCAGTTCAGATTTTGGTTAATGTCCTTCTCAGTCAAGTGTGAAATTAAGGCCAGAAAAAACTCCACAAACCATCATACAGTAGAAAAATTTGTATCTCTTAAGTATAGATAACGACCTACTTATACTTCTTGGGGAAGTACTAGTCACATAATTAACTCCTTAACTCCAGGACCAGTAAAGTACACTGAAACACATTCTTTCCTTTTAAACATAGTCATCTCCAAATAAATCAACCTGTGTTAACACACAGAATTTTCAGTAGCTAAGGCTACACTTTTTCTTCAGGGGCTTAAGCATTCATAGATGACTCTAAAAGCATAAATGGACCTTCAAATGGTGGCAATAGTTGATGGAAAATAAACATGGCTTTATACCAAAGGACTCAACTGTACCTTAAGACTGAAAGGAAATGGCAACTCTAATAAAAACAATGTGAAGGGAACAACTGCTGACAATCTTAATTTCCCATGACTCTCAACGAAAATTTTCTGAATGTTTTCTATCTCCTAGAAACAGAGGATATTTTTACTGTCAATACAATTGAACATAATTTTATTTTTACTCTGTAATATATTCACAATATATATGGAAGAGTTTCCAGAAAACAATTGTTGAAGGCAAGACTTTTAAAGGGAAAAATAATGTAGAAATAACCATTCAACTAAGTAAACACAAGAGAGGCATCAAAAGGTATGTTTTATTACCATAAAAATAAGCAAAAGAGTAAAATTAACAATTCCAGAACAAGATGTAATAATTCAACTTCTCTTAGCTTTTATTGCACTGAAGTAGGCAAGCACAACTTCCATTTAAAAATATTCAGCAAAATCCATAAAAATAGTAAGTGAGCCAATAACTGAACCTTTCATGAAATAAGTTATTTCTCACACAATTTAACTCTGAATATTAGGGAATATGACAATGAGAAGTTTTTCAATCCTGTATTTTTAAAAGTATTACAAGCCTTGTTGATTTTTAAAAAATACATTATATATATATATATATATATATATATATATACACACACACACATACATACATATGTATATAATATCAATGGCAATAGAGTTTGGAAAAGGGGGGGAATTGCGGTAACACTTCTTCAAGTTTTTTCTACAGTTTTCTAAAGACATTTTTAACATGCCTTTAAAATCTTCACATTCAAATCACTGAATGAAATCTTTACTATCTAGTGGTACTGATTAAAGCAGTTCCATTGGAGAAAGATGAGACAGTCAGTTTCTGTCAAGATTTATAGCCTTGAAAATACTATGAGGCAGTTATACTCTGTCCTACAGTGTTGCTACAAGTCACAATCAACTCACTGGCAGTGGGTTTGGTTTTTGGTTTATCAAACATACTAGTTCACTGAAAATGTTCATACATATTTAAATTACAGATGTTCTGAAATCCTAAATTTAACAAAAAATATAAAAATAGAGATATATTTGTATGTATGTGCATGTATATGTTCTAAATACAGAAACAAAAACATATAAATTTTCAACTGAAGAAATGTACTAACCAAAAAAAGTGAAATGAAATATCAAATCTAAATATTGCAAAGCAAGAATGGAAATGTTAGACAATGTCACTTCAATGCACAGAATATTTTTCAGGCATCTGTGGTGATTTAACAACATAACTAATAAATCAGAAATTATTCAACTCTACATATCTTGAAGGATAAATATACAATTTTATCAATATAAAACCCACCTAACACTTGGCTGGAGGAAAAAAAAGGAAATACACTAAAGTCTTAACAGATCTTGACTAAGTTTAGAACACAATGAAGGCTATCATTGCTTTTACCCCCAGCATCTCCTATATTAGATCAATGTTATTCTTCCATTAATTAAGTTCATTTTAATGCCCTCAATGAGTGATACTTTGTTCCAATATGAAAAAGGATTCTGACCTGAATTTGTTCTCAACCCAGGTTTTACTCACTCTTGGTTGCTCAGTGAGGCTGTCCTTCTGCGTTTGACTTGGACTTCAATCTCTGGCACGTGCTGTTCTGTAGTCCGTCTCAGATGTAAACGATCCCTGACACACAGTGGGATATGTTGGAAAGTTATCAAAATATGAAACAACAATGTATTTAAAGATTGTACTTGAAATTATATTTACTATGCTGGAATTTTAAGTGTCTACCTCTGGTGGTACAGTGCGTAAGGCAACTGACTCCTAACCAGAAGGTTGGCAATTCAAACCTACCAGCCACTCCACAGAAGGAAGACGGGGCAATTTACTTCTGTAAAGATTTGCAGCCTTGGAAACCCAAAGGGGGTCATTATGAGTTGGAATCAAGTAGATGGCAGTGGGTTTGGTTTTTGTTTTGGTATAATCTTATTAAATCAGATAAAATTCAAATATAAGAAAGTCATCATCCTCTAAAGTTAAGGTCTTTCTTATCTACATTCTTTCTCCCTTTAGAAGCCCCCTCACAGTTACAGTAAGATAGCAGAATAGGCAGAAAGACTGCACAGACCTTCTTCAACAAAGAAAAGGAGAACCAATTGACACAGATACAGAAGATAATCCTGGACCCCTAAGCTTCGAAGGGAAGATATAGAAGTAGACAAAACTCCAGCTAACAGAAGAATTTGCATGAACACACCAAAAAGGAAACATACGGAGCTGCGGTCTGGCAGTGATCCTGACAGAACAGACAGCTTAGATATTGCCAAGTGGTGTTAGGACCTAAGAATTAACCTAAAAATCAGCCCTGCTATCCAGGGACTACATGGAGGACCGGTCTGGTGGCTGGTGAATAAAAGGGGAAGCAGTGAAGAGGAAGGCGGGATGAGTTGAGGACTTTTGCCGGTCCGTAGGACGCAGCCATTTTTAATGTTTACAGGTGGTTTGACCATTTTGGATATTTTAGCAACAGCATTCTCCCAGAGTCCAGGGACTTAAGAACAGGATCAACTTGACAGGAACCTCAAGGACATTCCGGACACCAACCACTGAAAAGGTGCAACATAACCCTTGTTACTTTTATACCCCACACCCTCTTGGTAAATGGAGGTGCAACCATCCCTCACTCCCACCCGCCTTCTAGTCTGCCACAAATTCCATTCCAGTCTGAGTGCTCGGACAGAGCCTGGGTGCCCTGCAGCGACTTTTATTTTTTCTTTTTGTTAGTTTCTTTGTTTTTGTCTGTTTTAAAACTACTACTATCATTATTAGGAGCTCTGGTCGCATAGTACATAAGGCACTTGACTGCTAACCAGAAGGCTGGTGGTTCAAACCCACCAGCCACTCTTCAGAAGGAAGGTTGGGCAATCTACTTCCATAATGACACCACCTCGGAAACCCAAGGAGTTTATAACAACACTATTATTATTATAATTACTTTTGTCCATTTTATTATTATTCTTTATACATCCCTTTCCAGTTTCTAGTTTTCAGCTTTTTTCATTTCCCATTCCTGGTTCCTTTTTTTTTTCTCTCATGGTTAAACTTGTTCCTTGTTTTTCTTTCTGCATTTTTCCCATTTTTATCTTCATTATTCTCCTACTCTTTTTTTTTCCTTAATGCCCTATCCCCAGATATCACATTCCCCCCCCCCTTTTTTTGGTTACTGTTCCTGTTTGATGACAGGGTGGTTTTTTTTTTTTTTTTTTTTTAATCCATTTGCTTTTACTTTTATCATGGTTATTCAATGGTTATTTTTGTCTAATTGAGTGGGAGACAGCAACAGTCCCCATACGACACAACCATACTCACACCTCCTGCAGCTTCACTTACTGAGAGCCACCACATCCTTCTCCACCAACAGACCAATGATAAAGAACCACCAAGAAGAGCCTGACTCACCCTTAGCTTCTCTTTAGAAACAGTTAACAGAGATCTACATACAACAATGTTACAATGTCTCGGACACAACAGATCTTCACAGTCTACATAAAGAAGCAAGATAAAGTGGTAGAAACAAAGAAGCAGGATACAGACTCAGAACACATCCCTGAGGAAGAAGCAGCATTGGAACTTCCTGATAAAGAATTCAAAATAATTATATTTAGGTCTCTTCAACAAATTGAGAGAGAGATCAAGGAAAACGCAGACACAACCCTAGAAGAATTTTGGAAGAAAATAAAAGAACAAAATGAAAAATTAGAAATGATTCAAAATCCAAAGATAGAAATCCAGATGATTAATACTAAATTGTCAGAAATAGGTAACACATTGGAAGGACAAAGGAGTAGAATTGATGTAATGGAAGACAGAATTAATGAGATTGAAGACAAACACATGAATACTTTGTTGGTAAGGGATCAGAAAAAAAAAAATGAAGAAAGACTAAGGTTCATGTGGGATATCATCAAAAGGAATAACCTACATGTCACTGGAATTCCAGAACAGGAATGGGGAAAAAAAAAAAAAACACTGAGAAAATTGTCCAAGATTTGTTGGAGGAGAACTTCCCTGATATGATGAAAGATGAGAATATATCCATTCAAGAAGTCCAATGAACCATAAACAGGATAGACCCCAAAAGAAAATCACCAAGACATACCATCCTCAAACTCATCAAACCCAAAGACAAAGAAAGAATATTGAAAGCAGCATGGGAAAAACAAAGAGTTACTTACAAAGGACAACCAGTAAGAATAAGCTCTGATTTCTCAGCAAAAACCATGAAAGTGAGAAGGCAATGGGATGGTATATATAAAACCATGAAAGAGAAAAATTGTCAACCAAGAATGATATATCCCACAAAATCGTCCTTCAGATACGATGGTGAAATTAGGAGATTTCCAAATAAGAAGAAACTAAGGGAATTTGTTAAAACCAGACCAATCTTGCAAGAGGCACTGAAGAGAGTCCTTTGAAAACAGAACCAACAGGAGCAAACAACAACTGCCCACTCATACACAAGATGACATAACCCAGAAACCAACACAGCTATGGATATAGAAAGTAAAATGAGCTTACCAGATTGTAAACAGGGAACCAGAGACATCAATTTGTAAATGAGGACAACAACAAAACAAAACCAGGGAGAAAATAGAGTAGTTACAGAACTTTCTAAATGGCGAGGAAGTCAAGAGAGTTGCAAAACAGAATGGACTATTCTAAGCCTGGAAGAAAATTATAAATCACAGGGTAACCTCAAAGAAAAATGATAAACCTTCACATCAATAAAAAAGAGGACAAGCACAAATATTCAGCAAATACTAAAACAACAGTAACAAAGGAAATGATAACACAATTCATAAATATAAGGAGCTCAGCACAGAAAATAATATGGAACAAAAAATCCAGGAACACCATGAAAAAACACATAACAAAGTGACAGCAACCAACTCATACTTGTCCATAATTACACTGAACGGATTAAATGCACCACTCAAGAGATAGAAGAGTTGCAGAATGGATAAGAAAACATAACCATCATTATGCTGTCTACAAGAAACACATCTTAGAGACAAAGACAAAAATAGACTAAAAATCAAAGGTTGGAAAAAGATACATCAAGCAAATGGCAACTTTAAGAGAGCAGGAGTGGCAACATTAATTTCCGATCATATTGACTTTAAGATGAAAACCACCATACGAGACAAAGAAGGAAATTATATAATAAGGAAAAGATCAATTGAACAAGAAGATATAACAATAATAAATATCTATGGACTCAAGGAAAGGGCCCCAAAACACATAAATCAGACGTTAAAGAGGTGAAAAGGCAAATAGATGACTCACAGTCATAGTAGGAGACTTTAATACATCACTTTCAATGAAAGACAGAATAACTGGAAAGAATCTCAGCAAAGATGCAGAAGAGCTAAACAATACAATTCACCAATTTGATCTTACAGACGTCTACAGAGCACTTCACCCAACAACAGCACAATTTACCTTCTTTTCAAGTACACATGGGACATTTTCCATGATAGACCATATGTTAGGCCATAAAGCAAGCCTTAATATATTTAAAAACACTGAAATACTGCAAAGCATCTTCTCAGATCATAATACTATCAAATTAGAGATCAACAATAGGAAGATCAATGGAAGAAGAGTAAACATGTGGAAAATGAACAACACCCACCTTAAGAAAGACTGGGTAAGAGAAGAAATAAAAACTGAAATTCAAAACTTCCTTGAATCAAACAATAATGAAAACACAACCTACCAAAATCTTTGGGACACAGCAAAAGCCGGATTCAGAGGCAAATTCATAGCAATGAATGCACACATCAAAAAAGAAGAAAGAGCCAAAATCAACATCTCCAACGATTCAAAAAAGAATAGCAAGAAAAGCCTACAGTCACCAGAAGAAAGGAAATAATCAAGACTCAAGCAGAAATCAATGAAACAGAAAATAGAAGAACAATACAAAAAAATCAATAAAACCAGAAGTTGTTTTTTTTGAAAAGATTAATAAAATTGACAAACCACTGCAAAATAAAACAAAGGAAAAGAGGGAGAGAATACAAATAACACAAATAAAAAACACAATGGGTGACATCACAACAAAACCAACTAAAATAAAAAAGATAATATTAGGACGCTATGAAGAACTGAAGGAGCTCTGGTAGCGTAGTGGCTAAAGTACTTGACTGCTAACCAGAAGGCTGGCGGTTCAAACCCACCAGCCACTCCTCGGAAGGAAGGTTGGGCAATCCTACTTCCGTAGTGATACTGCCTCGGAAACCCAAGGAGAGGTCACTATGAGTCAGGGCTGACTCGACAGTACATAACAACAACAACAACAACATGAAGAACTGTGCTCCAAGAAATGTGAAAATCTGGAAGAAACGGACAGATTTCTAGAAACACACAACTCACATCAACTAACACATACTGACATGGTAAAACTGAACAGATTCATAACAAAAGAATGAATTGAACAGGTCATAAAAAAAATACCAAGAATAGAAAGTCCTGGCCCAGACGGTTTCACCGGAAAATTCTATGAAACATTCAGAGAAGAACTGACACCAATCCTACTCAAACTATTCTAAAACATAGGAATATATCACTCAAAGGAAAACTACAGACCAATATCCCTCGTGAATATAGATGCAAAAATCTTC